GTTCGTTTTATGCAGGCCAACTTTTCTGTTTAAATTCAAAAATTTGATTCCCGGAAGCCACTTCCAATGGAAACAAGAAAAAAGTTACGACCGATGCCATCAATTTGGCAGTTCAGTGCTGAGTTTTTTTTTGCAGTTATTAGCTATCTCCTTCACAAGTATGCATGGTACCTCACTGAAACTTTACGAAATAGATGTTTCATTTTTTTGAGTACCACTTAGCGATATCAGGTGAGTTCATACACTGTCAGCAAAATAAATAAGCCTGACTTACTGGCATCCAGGATGAAAGGCTAGTGCTGCCAAGATTTCGATGACCACCGCAACGATCACAGTACAGTTCAGAAATTTGTAACTGGATAAGTCTATAAAACTGCTAATTTATTAATTTTTACTCTTAGACCCATTTTTAGAATACTTTCGGCTTGTGCAGCCAAAATTTAAAGTGAATTAGCTTCTCGCTGTAAATACTTGATATACTTCAGGATAAGACGGGTAAGATGACCTTGGTACCACCTGGCAACAGCGTGCAGCTGCAGTCCATGTAAGTTTACTATATTACTGAACGGCAGGTAAATATTGCCACAGTTAAATCAAAAGCGAAATAACAGCGCGAGTAGGTTGTGGTACCATTTTTAAATCAGAAATTTTGTCTACGTTTTATTTTTCAAAGCAAATCCACCTTTATCGGTAGCTAGCGAGGTCATCATCATTTATCTTTCTCGATTTCGTTGGACATACTGATAAGCCCTTTTTTTCCAATTTAATTTTTATGACAGCGCTAGAGAAGCCAGTGCCATTTCCCAATTGACCAGATCAATATCTGGTAGAAGTTGATTATACCGCAGAGATTTTTTAAAATTTCAAATGACTTGACTAACGCGTACATTTGAGTGAAATGAGTTTTAATAATTACATCTGAGCAATCAAAAAAACTTGATAATTTAAGTGCAACACCGATGACTGATTAATTGTTGCTTTTCCAGTTACTGATTCAAGTAATTTGGTTTTCATTGTCTCAAATAGGCAAGTCAGACACATAAGCGATTTAAGGTAAAAAATAATTTTTTTGAAATAAACAAATAATTCGAATAATTTAGGTATTATTATTTCTGCTATTAGTGCTATTAGTTTAATTAAACTATTAATTTAGAAACGTTTTGTGCTATAACTTCTGTCACTGGTATAAACTCCTGAGCGAACATCAAAAATGAGGATGCACGCCCACCTTTGTTCCAATAATCGCACATTTTATTTTTATCTTTATTTTGATATAATCACAGTCTTTTAGGCATTTGTCGCCTTATCAACCACAGCAACAAGTATATCCGTATTTGAATCAAATTGCGTACAGAGCTCCAGCTCCCCTCGCTCTTCCTCCTCCTCGTCCTACTCCTCTTCTATCTCCAGCTGTGCAGCAATATACTCCTGTAGCAGCAGCAGCAGCACCTCAACCAACGCGTTACTACAATCCTCTGGATCCACTGGGACTGTTTAATAATCCGGTTCTTCATTTTTTACTCTTTATCAGTTAAATTCTAGAATGACTGTAGTGATTAAAATCTCACCAAAAAAAAAAATACATGTAATGGTTGGAGCTTCTGGAAAACTGCTGTGAGGATCTCGCTGACTAAATTCTAACTAACCGCATGGTATGCATATGCGTCAAACACTTTCCTGTGAACTTATGTTCAGATATGGCTTTCTGCTTTCAAGCAAACCAAATCCGAGTAAAATTACGTAAGTTGGCTTGAAAAATTACCATCCAGTGATTTTTATTAAAGGCTTTGCCTAGTCTGCCAGCACATCAGAAGCAACTGCGCGTTACTAGAGTCAGGATTTTGGGCAGGCTGGAGCGCTGGACTGTACCGCATATAAAGACATTTAAGATTGTCAAATTAAATTTAATTATTCCGAAATCATGAATTGATTTCATTTTTTTTTTTACAGGTATGGCACTCACTATTTCCGGGTCTTGTTGTGCCACAGCCACAATCAGTTTCAGCTTATGAATCGGAGTCTAATTTAGGTATAAAAGTTTTCTCGCTGATAAATACAGCACTCTGGAGCTAGGGATCAGCTGAAAAGATCCGATGCCTCATCGATGACGAAAAATTTCCACTTTTTCCGCAGCCTTCATTCCGCTTCCTCGCAGTATCTAGACAAAAAGGTCACTTAAGTTTCGCGGGCACGCAATTAATTTTGGTAAGGAGTCATACTACTAGAGCTACAGTTCAGGCTAATGTCCACGAATCACATGTGTCTTTTTTTGCTTTCTTCAGCTGCTAGACGATTCTTTGAAAAAAGTTTCTCTTCTAGATGTTGAGCCAGTTTCGAAACCGGTATATGCAGAAGTACCAAAGAAGGCGCAACT